ATAATTTCGTTTTGCCCATTGTCAGATTGATTACGAACAATTCAGACGATATTACACCTGATTAAAAATTACAAATTTTACATTTCTAAGTAGATGTAATTTTGCAACTTATAAAAAATTTGTTGTTAATAAAGTTAGTATTGGTTGATCTTGTGCACACAAGTTCGAAGCTTGTATCATTCGTTAATGCAAATCTAATTGAATTTATTATGAAAAACAAAGTTTTAGTTGAAGAGTTAGTTATAAATGTGAGGACAAAACAACGGCATCCGTAGGGTAAAATTGATAACTGTCCAGGCATTGGAATTTTCATGTTGCCCGCCTTGTGTTCGTATCAATTAAAAATTGAGAGCCTGTTTCCACCTCATTTTTACTTGATAACCGATTTATATGTGTTCCCTAGAACAAACACATCTAAACCTGGCAAGGAAAGAGAAGTATAACAGACGAATTCTAGAGCGACCGGCGAGTGCATGAGTCATGATGAGTGTTATGGCTTTTGTTTTGTATTTCGTTTTGTATTTTCTCTATCACAGTTTTGCAACACAATTTCATCTAATGGTAGCCAAAATGTAAATAGAAGTAAATAAAAATAAATTAAATTCAGAGGAAATAAAAATATAATAGCTTACCATAAGTCAGATATTCTTTTGACGCCATCAATATGTTCATCCACGTTTCTCCAGTAATGCATGGTAATGTAATGTAGTGCAAAGATGGCAGGTGGTAATGCTATCGGGCGCTAGAGATGAAACAGTAAGTGGATCAACAGCAAGCAGATTAAGTTCAAAAGTTTACAATGATTGTTATTAACGACATGCAATAATAAAAAATGTTCTCACGCCTGGCATGAAGTCATGATATTAAATTACTCAGCCACATGGCTCTTAAGCCTCCACAAACTCTCCACTAATCCCCTCACTCGGGAATAAGTCCCACTAACTCTCACACAAACTTCTTCGTGTCCCCCACTCTCCCCTTAGCCGCCTCGCAGCTCCCCAGCTGCTCACAATGCCGCTCAAATATTGGTCTGCCACTTGACAGGATTTTTCTTCACACTTCCCTGATGAGTTTTACAGAAATGCGGGCGGTGAGCCAGGCTTAGCGTCTGCCATTCGCGGCGGTTACAGGTCGCCAACGCACGCTAAACTTTAATGGATTTCTACGTTTCTCGAATTGTCGCATTGTGTTGTTAAGTGAATTTCTTGTTTGTTTAGACAGGACCATTTGTAGTCTACGGTTCAGATTTCTAATCTGTTTTCTATAGTTTTTTTTTTTTTTGCATGGCGTCGAACGAGTCGGAACTCTGGAAGCAACGTAGGAGACAAATGAAATATAATGAACAAAAAATACATGGCACAGTGGATGATATCTCCAGTATCGTGAAATAAAAAACGTCGTACTATCATCGTGATGATGGATTTCCACTCGTACCTGAGGACATAGTTACGATGCGGTGACACTGGAGGGACAAACCTCAACAATTTTGTGACAGATGCGCAGCGCTGGCGTCAGTTGCGCGGGCCGAGAATGCGGGAAGACGATATCGTCGTGTTACGTGATCTCAGGGCGACCTTTCAACACGACATGATTAATTCTCGCCACGTCAAAGCTGAGAAAGATTAGGGACTTTTTATATGGAATCGTACACGAGAGGAGAAACATCCGGAAGCAGGGCATGAGAAAATATTGGAAGAAAAATTACTTGAAAGTAATTTCATCACAGAAAAAATTACTTGAAAGTAACTTTTCAAGTAAAAATTGCAGTTTTTCTGTTGAGAAAATAATGTGTATTTGCTCTTCTACGTAGCCTTGCGGCAAGGGTGTATCATAACGTAACCTAAGTGCGAATTTTGCTTCACACTTTTATAAAAGTAGAAAAAGAAAAAAAAAATAGAAAACTTTTCGTATTGAACTTGAATCGGGAATAAGTATGAGCGATTTTCAGAATTTTTATTGTGAATAATGTTGAGATTTGAACGATCTGTCAGTAAAAAGTTTATCCGCGTGCGGGCCAACCAACTTTCTTGGCGTTTTCAAAAAGTTTGGGACCAAAGTTTTTTGTAGTCATTAGGACGCTTTTCGAGGAGACTTCTGAAACATCCCGCTCTCCTCGACGACGGGATGTGTAATCAGATAGACCTAAAAACGAGAAAATAACTTTAATAAAGGAAAATACGCTAGATCTTGTAAATCGGCGCATCGTCAGTAAATTTTCAACTGATTACATGAGTATGCTAATTCTTAAACTAGGGGGAGCGTCTGGGTCATACAATCGGATAATTTGGCTTTTTTGTTTTTTTGGGTTCATTTTGTAGCTGCGGAAAAGGCGCGTCCAACGCTGCAAACCGAATGTATGTTTGTACTTATTTTTTTTTTTTTTTGCCTTAGGCAGTTTCAAATTTATATGAAATGAATATTTTTCAACAAAATTTCCAAAGATTACTTTGAAAAATTGAAAAATGTAGGCCATTGTTCTCGTTAATTGCAAAGTGTTTGTACTCATTTTCAAGCTGCAAACAATTGACGCGTTCAGTTAGTAATTACCATGGACGTTCATGCAATGCTTTTTGCGTAAAGCCGTTTTAAGCTTTTATAAAATGACCATTTTATATGAATAAATATATCAGAAAAATCCCATTTATTGCTTTTTAATTGCGTAAAACTGGACAAGAATAAGTCTAAGACGCGTGATGGTATATCCTCAATACGAGTAATTGACAATGGAAAAGCTGGGGCTATGGTATCAAGCAAGTTTGTTATATAAAGTATTTTATTCTTTATCAATATATTTTACTTATTTGGCTCCCTTAAATGATTTAAATTTCCGAAATATGATTTGATGATTTTGAAGCTATGACGACGTATCTTTCGATTTGTAAAGACCGTATCTAACGACTCTATAGAAGATCTTTTTTATTTGTACATTGTTTAAAATATATTTTGAAAAGCTATGGGGTAGGGGAAAATGGAAGAAGTCGTATAACAAAGTTGAATAAAAAATCGAAAAAGTGCTTTTATAGACGATAGATATTCTCTTTACAAATCAAATGATGTATATCTCGATGTTGTAACACGTAAATTGAAGAAGATAGATTTATAAAGGACCTTCTTTTTTACAGCTTTCTATGCATTTCACGTTTTTTTCAAAAATTCGCATGAGCAAAATTTTCTTCTTTTGATCCATTACAAATGTGTACTAAGCTGCACAAAGATCCGTCAGTAAAAAATTTTTTTTCTTACCCAGACGATCCCCTTAAGATAGATGGAGGTCTCAAAATTTCAATCCTAAAATCATGAATCCTCTATGAAGAAATTTATTTCGCTTTTATATAAGGGCAATGGTCTAAAATATTCCATGGGAAGATCTTATATCGACTTCGTACCAAACATACGAGTACACTGTAATTATCGTCTTTCAGTTTAGGTTAAATGAGTAACAATATTTATATGGGCCACCAATAAATTAGCGAAGCAGATTTTGCGTGAGTTTTTTCGGAAGCAACCATTTATGCGCAGGTGTATTTTAGTTCGTTGCAGTACGTGAACCAGGCGTCCCGCTCTCAGTAAACAACGCGTGTGTGGCGAAGAAGCGCACGTAAGTGATGGCGCCTTTAAGGTCGAATAATGATGGCCTGCGTCTATTAAATCCCGGTAGACGTAAAGAATGATCTTCAGTGCAGACCAAACCTAATTGAAAATCAAGGCGAGATTTTCGTCGGCCACGGCGGCCACTTGTATGCCAGTGGTTGGCGTGTGCATTGAAGTTAGGATTTGAATCTGTAAATCCAAGAGTTTCGGGTAAAGTAGCCACCATTTACTTTTCTTGAAGATGTTATAGGAGGAAATAATTTATTTAAAAAATAACCCAGAACATAATTATTATTAATTATGAAAGGAATCGGATTTACTTACAAAACACGTCGCAAACTACGAGTAACTAATGATTGTAATGCAATCACCCAAGCAGATATTTACATGAAGAAAAATATACTAGTCAGAGCCGTGCTCTTACCTAACTGCTCCTGAACACCGACTAACATGACGCTCTAAAAACGTAAGTGAAAAGGAACTTCATCGGTAAAGATATCCAAGCCTTATTAAATTTACAGTTTTTTTCCAAATTCACCATCTCATACGTCAGTATTCTCCATCAAAATACCATGTATACTGACAGTATGGTATAAAAACCAGTTTTTAACTAATATCATAAAATTATGATAATATCAGTATAGGGTAGAGGCTAGACGTGGTCAGGACGCAGCAAGCACATCGTTGATGAGGCCAAGGAGAGGCGAGGCAGCTCAGCGTGAGGCTCAGTGCCCCACGGGGCTGATCTCGGCGTAGGGAGTCTTGCTTCCATTCATCACGATGTCAAAGGGGATTTGGCGGGGAGTCTGAACGCCGTCTCCACGCACACAACTTACAGATCACAACGGATTAACCGTGAAGTGCAAACTTATAAAACGTTTGTGTAAGGAATAATACGAAGTGGTGACTATCAAGGTTTCAATTATAAAATCATACGCCCCTTATATTGACAGACAACATTTGACGTACAATGTCAATAATAAAAAATTGATCTTTCGTTGCCTTAAGTAAGCACTCAATTCCAGCGTAGCGTTCCAAAACTTATAATGGGAGGTGCTAAATTGGCTGTGTTGCGTTCTGATATCATTGACTGCCATGTGAAACCTATTTCGATCAACCTAGCACTATCTTATAGGCTGTATATTTCAGTCTGCGCAAAATATGTACGAGTGCTCGTCGACTTGAGTTTTTTTTCAATCTTAATCCATCGAGCGCTCAAGGCAGCCATCATTTACCATTACGTTCTTTATTAGCGTTTTTTGCCGCGCAAATGAGCCACCATGAAATGGTTTGGGCAAACTAGTGTAAATGAAGAGCAAGTTGGAAGTTGAGCGCTGCCATTCTAGCCAAGCGGCTCGCCTGTCGAGCTGTGCCTCAGCACTGCCTCTGCCTCTCTGATTTTCCGCTCAGTGCGCTTCAAGAAGTGAGGGTGGATGGTCGTCGTTAAAGCAGCTGCGTGCTTCAGTGACCACGTGTCACCTGTCATCAGCGTTAAGAGTGTAGGCTTATCGTGAGGAAACTTTGAGTTCATCGGCTTGTCTCTAGACTGATTTGCAGTCATGCTTCGTTGTCTTTATCTTAAAGTGTGGATGATCAACTTGATTATTTGAAAGGAACTAAACAAACGTTGTATGATCTTAGCAGCCTTGACTTTTCCTCTCCATATTGTGAACTGACGGGACAAAAAATAGAAAATTGCTCGGCGCAATTAGGCACGCGTTGCTGAAGTCATACTGCACGACGCCACGAATGTCATCATCACTCTCACCTCATGACTGGCGCTGTTTTCTTAACATTTGCGTAGATGCAGTCGCTACAGCCACACTGAGTCCTAATCACACTTCACAGTAATGTTCTGTCGACTTCAGTGCACGAGATGAAGGATTATCGATTGTAGCCGTTGTGAACTTGTGAGTCATGGACAAATCGAATTATTTTGCCTTGAATAAGTTTGTGTTTCGAAATTTTATCGTTTCGCACTTGCAAGAATCGATGCTCCAGCCATGTTTTTGGTATCGCTGTCGAGTGATTGTGTAAATCAAAGATCTTGTGGAGCTGCTGAACTAAAAGCATCCCTAGGAAAAATTGCTTGACGAGTGGATGGTAGAAACAGCAAAGAAGAGCCTGTATCGGCGGTTGGCGGCCGACAATTTATTTGGCCATCGATAAGCCAGCCAAGATTTGCTATAGTATATCAACATGGCTGGCAGAACCTTGCTTCTCCTGCTAGTGACGGTAAGTTGTTGCTCGGAGCAACAGTCGACAATAACTCGACATGGTTGTGACAATTTGACATACGCCATCTACCTAACCAATTAGCAGCACGTCACGAGTAACCCTAATCTTCAGCAGATTTAAAAATTGATTTCTGTTCGAGTATGTGAAAAACGCAATCTCTCTGAAGTTCAAGCAGGGTGGAATTTATGAGGGTTAATTGTGAACAAGTGTGCATGCATTTGATCTAATAATTTGAAAATAGACTTTCTTTTTATATTTTGCTGATGTTTTGGAACTTTTCGAGTTACCCGACTTTCGTTAAAAGAACATTCATTTTGCGAGTACTGATCCTAAATTTATATACTTCCTTTTAGTGACATAAAATACTGAACGTTCAGGTAGAGTTCGAATGCCCAATAATTTGTAGAATGTAATGTGACTGAGATTTGCTGCAGCTTTGCTGTGCACATCGAGTAATTTTACCCAACCATCCTTTCGTTAGATTATGGCGAGAGTTATTCATGCGCGTGTGTTTCGTTAGAGTTGGTTCGTTTACTGCTCACTTTGATGTTATAATCTCTTCGTAAAATGTAAGCTCTAATCAAACGCAGTATTCAGCATAGTTAGCCTACCCGAATCTCGCCGCCTACTGAAACGGGGCAGTTGCCCTGCATTGTCTCGGATGGTCTTGAGTTGGTGGTTGACCGCGTCGAATCAGCTAGTGGCTTCTCAATTACTATCTACGCAGCATCATGAGCCGGGAACTAATGACACTATTAGTGGAACTGCTTCTATGAAGCTCTAAAAATAACGATAATCTCGGATGTAAACATAACTTAATTTTTTTTTTGTACCACGAAGTCATCGACATTGACAATCATGTTCAAAGTCTGGAGAGCTTCTCATTTTATTTTAATAAACTTCTATTTCACTGCATCAAACTTGTCATTATAGCTTTATTATAACTTGGCTTAAACTGACATTACCTAAGCTAACCGCACGATGAAAAATTTACGGAGCAGTTTCGTTAATTTCAGTAGTGTTTCTGAGGCCTGTAGGCCACCAATCATGAAGGAATTATTTATGGCCTGGAATGCGCTGATTCTTTCTATGTCAATGGTTGTCGATGGTCTGATCCTTTCTTATTTTCAGTTTAGTTCAAAACTACCGCGAATACTGAACGAATATATTTCTATTTACAAGCGGCTAATTTCATTTCATATTGAAGTGAGGGTACTCTTCTAACATGTATGAAAAAGCTTCGACTATTAATTACTGTAACTTTTTTTGGAAATAAAATTTTCCAAGTTGGTGCTGAGATTTTTGGGCAACGTGCATCAATGACTACGTGCAATATGAAGTTCGCATTGAAATCCGGAATCTTCTAGATTTCAAACAAGACCCTTATGCTTGATGATGTATTTTTTCTTGTTGCTAGGAGTAGTTTATACCAAGGCACATAGTACGCATCTAACTGCTCAATGTTCCCCGTCAAGTATGAAGGATTTATGAATGACAAAATGGGTTTGCTTGAGTCCCGAGTGGAAACTTGGTAGGAAGGATATTTGATGAGCAGTCGGATGATGAGGCAATTCTAAAACATGTCTAAGCACAGAAGTAGGTTCCGACCTTCATGATGTGGGGAGCTACACAAGAGGCCGGCGCTGTCGCGATGTAATGAAGTGCCAGCGCTTCATCATTTGATGGACTGAGGCCTCATGAAGAAAATATCCGTTCGCCTTCGTTTCTTTTGTTGGTGGCAGAGCCAGACTGATGGACTGAGCTGTGGTCTGTGGCTTCTCAGGGACTGTGCGTGTTTGGTATGGTCTTTAATACAAGAATTTTGTTGGTCTACGCGTCACCTTTGTCAAAACGGATTTTCTTCTAATTCAATTGTAGTGTAAAGGAGAGTAGTAACATGGCAGAGGACTTTCCAGTTAGCTCATATTTAGTGATTTTGAAAACGCATGTAGATCATGGAATCTGGATTTCCTGAAATGTTGGCTCAATTCGTGGCGCTTTATTGCCGTTAAACACGTTTTCGGAGTATGGTGATTATATAGGAATGAGTTGTTTAGGAGAGTTGTCTCGCTTCCTTTTCATCTGAGATGGAAGACGGAGTTAGGGAATGAGTTGCTCAAGAATATTACCTCACTTCTTAACCATCTAAGTCAAAGAACTATGTTTAGGAATTGGTTTTTCAGACACGTCATTTGTCTCCTTTCTTAGCCATGAAAAATGGAGGACGCTATTCCCATGCCTGAAATTCTTTGATTATAGGCGCACAACTAGCCAATCTCAGGATGGCTTGTGCAACCATGTCGGCCATATGAGGAACCCGTAATAAATGTCCTCTATTGCCCTGATATTTCATGCCGGCGGCCTCATGATCGCGTTCCGTGTTATTCTTGCTCGCTGGTGAGTCTTGTAGCGCCTAAACGCGTCTCCTTACGGACGCTCGACACGCCACCGGCTCCGGCTCCGACTCTGGTTAAATACGGACCTGCACGCTAGGCTGAATTTTTCAAGATTATTTTCGCGATTAAGAGGTTTTAATGATCTCAAATCGACATTGTATCTAAAAATGGAATGATTACTGGTTAAAAACAATATAACATAGACATGAGAGTTTCTGCTTAGTCGTTATAAGCTGATCCGGGTGAGAGAGCTTTGGTGAAGAACTCAGTCCGGGGCTCTGCAAGTTTTCATCTGCCATTGCCAACTTTGGACGACTTCATCACTTGTGTTGGCAAGTGAAATGCTTTATGGTGCGATAAAGCTTACGTAAATTCACTGTTTCTTTCGGTTGTAAACGCTTAAGTTCTAGGAAAAATTTACCAATTTGACTTCCTTCGACGTTTGATTAGAAAGGAAAACGTTGCTCGTTTCTCGATTTATTTTCTCTGATTAATATTCTTTTCACGTAAAAGTAATTTCTACATCTAAATAGTCCCTGTGAAATTTTGCGCGCGAGTATCAAAGATTTAAGAAGAGTAATCATGTGTAAGAACGTGCCCCGATAATGAATTGTTTTAGACGAGCGGAGGGGAGGGCAAAGAGTGGGTGAGGGTGCCAGCTTGCGTGTTGCATTTGTCATTTTTAGCGACAGCGCCGAACTTCGCGACACGCGCGTGCCTGCGCCTCGTAAGTCGCGGGACAATCACTGGGCCTGCTGGACTGGACGGCTTGCTGGAGGTGCTGGATATCCTACTGTTTGTTCTGGACGACCTGCCTGACGATCTTAAGGACGTACTGAGCGACCTACTATTCGTCCTTGACGACCTGCTAAACAATCTTCTTGACGCACGAACGGCCTGCTGTAAATTCCATTTAGCAAATTTAAATGCTGGTGGCTCGCACTATTTGTCACGGACATCAGTTCCATTATAATGTGTTAAGTATAACTGGCGGATCAGAATTTTTACAGGAGGTTGAAATTTTAGTCTCCAAAACTTCGTCACATCCCGAGTCTGTGTGAATCTCCATTTTTTGTCAAGCCTAAATTTATTGCCAAACTTGCTTGTTCTTATTCACTTATAATCATATGCGCATAAGTTTAAATGATTCTAAAAAATGTTAGGGATCGCGCAGGGTGCGCCAGCTATAGGCTGTACCGTTCGGTAGTCACTCGCCACCGACGATGTTTTCACGACCGTGTTGTATGAGCAGGTGTGGTGCGGGCAGTAGGTGGCCTTGTTGCAGCGGCCCCCCACTCCTCTATAGAGCGCCTGTGTCAAGGCAGTAGCCTCACAGTACTTCATGTCAATAGTTGAGGTGCTTGAACTGATCAAGAGTGCTATGTGTGAGAGCCGTCTCGTTAATTTTTGTATCTGCTAATTCAAGTGCGAAGGGACAAATTCTGATAATATCCAATCACATATATTATATAACGAAAAATAATTTCCCTATGTGCTTTTGAAACGAGATTGTTCTGTGATTTTTGTTGATTGAATGAAATTTTCTACGCAGTTTGTCCAATTTATTTAAAGTTCTCCACATCGACTAATAGCTCATTACTATTTATTTGCATGTTACTAATTATGAATAACGCCACATAAAGCTAATATAATCACATTGACGCTGTATTTGAAATGAACATTACAATTGGTTAAATCTGATTCTGATTTTATAAAAGTTTTTATCTAATTTGGCAAGAAAATGTCGAGCTTGTCACTAGACGATAGCGCACCGCACTAAACGCTTCTTCTGCGCACTTCCATGCAACATTAGGATGCCATCGATCCAACCACACGACATTCTTCCTCCCTTTTAATGCTACGATGGGCTCACTGATGTGTTTTTTCTCTTGTGTTTTGTTCGAGAGCTTAAATACTCAGTGAGTTACAAAGGTCACTGCGAGTCAGAGACCTTCCAAAACTGTCTGTTTTTGGTCATTCTTGACGAGACGCTCTACCAGGCCTTATACTCTCCATGAGATTAGCGCGTCTATTGTTAGATAGTCTTCAAGGCTGATCTGCATGTCTTTTTTTGGTCCGTTATAATAAGACTATTACGTTGGGGAATCGAGTTAGCGACGTTTCCTTCGATGTAGTTCAGATATCTTGAATTGAATGGAGATTCTTTCATGCAGTTATCCTTTCCGCAAGTTGTGAATTTCCGCTTTGTTTTTTACTAAGGTTCTGACTTTATTGTTTCCTTTGTCCCTATTTTTATATTAATGGCTGAATTTTGTTATTATTTCGTTTGTGAACGCAACTTATGATGCTTGCTGGAACGCACGTTCGTGGTATTTGACACAATTCAACTTTCGATGCCGGTCACTGAAGAGGACGAAATCGAGCGTTACTTAGATGAACAGGCTTTTAATTGAATCATTTACGAGATTATTTAGCACTGTAAATTCCTAATTAATGCAATCAAATTCCTGAAATTTATAACTTTTGCTCTAGGTTCAAATGAGCTCACATTTCAACGGTCGAATCTCATAAATTATAAAATATATAATGTGCAGAGAGCACATTAAATATATAACTTTCTAAATATCTCATCAGAATAAAAATATAAAACAAAGGGATGCCAGTTTGAGGAACCAATCGGCCGCGACGTCTTCCATACATTATTATATTTAAATTCAATATATCTGTAGCAACGTAGCGAGCTCCCGGTGCTCTAAAAGTTTGTTTTTGCATCGCAAATCTCCGTGTCTCAAGCCGAGTTCACGTGCATGATGTGTATGATACTAATTCATAGCTAAAAGTACGTGCGAGCTCGTATCGCGAATAGCCAAGTTACAGGTCTAGTACGACGGCCGCTCGTGCCGTCTGCTTGTAAATATTTAGAAGCAGAACTCTACACGAAAGCTGCTTGATGTGCTTCCGTGCCTGCGCTCGACGTGAGCACCTCAAGTCTGAGCCCGGATGCATAAAATGACGCAGGAGCACCAATAACGATTTTAATTCACATTTAGCTAGATTGGGGCTACTTATATTTATTTTTTGTTACATATAGTCGCAAAAATGTAGTGAGATTTTTTAAGGACTAGCGACAAGACGAGATGAGGCCTCCCGGCACGAGTATGATTGTGTGGTTGAGGTAGCGGTGCGCCGTTTCATCACAGGCAATCATCGATGAATTATCGTCCACCAGTTAAGGGTTAGATCAGTGGCATGGTTGGCGGCCACATATTTGCGTTGAAGTTCCAAGTATTTTTTTTCGTGTTCACAAGTTCAAGCAGCGAATAAAATGGCCATCGACCTGAGTTGAAACATTGACTGCGGGTTTAATCTGTCTCACAATATAGTATTGTAAAAGATTTTATTCGTCCTTTATTGTGGATAATGTCCGAGTCTCGTTTACTTTTAGAGTGAAGTCAACTTTTATTGCAAGTAAAAAGTTTTAGATAGGCATTAATTTATTTCTACAAGTGTATTTATCTAGTATTCATTTGAATGTCGATTAATTAAATAGTGGTAAATTATTTTAATCCTTTTGCTTATAATCGTATGAGTTTGACCTACCACTCATCCAATGATGAATGATTCATTACTTTCTCTGTATGAGTTTTAATTAAATTAATATAATACTTAAAAATAATTGTATTAAATCCAAAATTTTTAATACAAGCATGTTTTTCGTCCAATGTTATGGTAATAAATTTATTGGAGTTTTGTTCATGTTTTTGATTGCATGCCATTTGAATGTCCTCGAATATCATCTGAATATTTTTGCAGGCGTTCGTTGGCTGCAGTCTGGGCCGGCGTCACCAGCGGCCGCAGTTCTGCGCAGACTTGCCTGTGAGTACTGCGCTGTTGCTGCGCTGTGTGCTGCGCTGTTGCTGCGCTGTGTGCTGCGCTGTGTGCTGCGCTGTGTGCTGCGCTGTGTGCTGCGCTGTGTGCTGCGCTGTGTGCTGCGCTGTGTGCTGCGCTGTTGCTGCGCTGTTGCTGCGCTGTGTGCTGCGCTGTGTGCTGCACGTTCTGCGTCATGTGCTGCGTGATGTGCTGCGCCATGTGTTGTGCCATGTGCTGCGCCATTTTCTGCGCCATGTGCTGCGTGACGTACGTTCTGCGTCATGTGCTGAGTGATGTGCTGCGCCATGTGCTGCGCCATGTGCTGCGTGACGTGCTGCGTGATGTGTTGTGCCATGTGCTGCGCCATGTGCTGCGTGACGTTCTGCGTCATGTGCTGAGTGATGTGCTGCGCCATGTGCTGCGTGACGTGCTGCGCCATGTGCTGCGTGATGTGTTGTGCCATGTGCTGCGCCATGTGCTGCGTGACGTGCTGCGCCATGTGCTGCGTGATGTGCTGTGCCACGTGCTGCGTGATGTGCTGTGCCATGTGCTGCGCCATGTGCTGCGCCATGTGCTGCGCCATGAGCTGCGCAATTAATGTCCTCTGCAGCGTGCGGCGCTATGTGCTGTGTGATAATCTTGGTTTGCGAGGTCTATTCTATAATCAATGGCTTTCATAAAAAAAATGTTATCAAAGAACGGAACACATATGGGCGACTGAACTGGAACTGAATACTAGCAAGATTGTAAGAATATTAAATTTAATTAATGCGATCACAAAATTTACAGAGCGCAGGAGCGGCGGATATGTGGCCTCCCTACAAAGAAATTAAGTCCATTTAAGTTCAAATTTTAATACTGAATCGCGTTTCCTCTAATCTTCAATCATATTGCAGTACGAAAGCTAAAGTTAGCAATACGAAACTTTAGAACATACAATAGGACAAATAATATAATAGTAGACCCATACCTCTTCAGGTGCAAACTTTCGCTACACCGAAGTCTGCCAGGAATCGCGAGCAGAACAGAGTAACGTCGCACGCTGCAACGGATAAGCAACAGCCCGCTTTCCCAATCTATACCTATTGCTACTGTTTCATTTCTTTTCTTCCTTGCTTACAAAAGAAATCCTGAATATTATTGCTAAATATTCTAGTTACATCATACATGCTGCGAATGTTTTTTACTGCGTTCTTCTACTTAGAGTTGACTGACTATCAACTCCGTCAATCGCTAAAATAAATGACATGTTAGTGTCACAAGTCTATCGCTATTTGTTTAGTGTCACTATTTGTTTAGTGCTGTGCGCTAAACATATTACACAATTAAACCAAGCATGCGTTCCACGCGCTGAACCTGAACACCAGTACAGGTTATATCCACGTACTATCGAGCTAAGATTGAACACAATAAACGTCATGGGCACGAGTCTCAGTGCTACCTCGTGAGCGGTTGTTGAAAGTTGCATCTCGGTAAATATGTTAACATTCATCTTAATCGTACTATCTACTTGCTTTCATTGTTTTAAATAATAGATTTTCCGATGAATTTCAGTCTATTTGGTTTTTTCGCGACCAGTGTTTTGAAAAAATTTCGAACCCTGCACTGAGGTTTTGAAAAGGTCAAACGTATTCTTTATTCATATCATTGTTTGTTCCAGAATATTTGTTCCAGAAGCTTCACATTCTGTCATTCTTTGTTCGTGTTACCTGAAGTGAAACTCTGCTAAGCCTCATCTTTATGGACACGTTCACCTGCAACATCAAAACTCTAATCAATTCCGCTGTTCGATCCTATACTTTATTTTTCGTTAAATGCCACAGGAAAAGGTCTCTTTGGAAAACTTCCATCGTCTCCAGGCCAATTTTAAAGCATGAATGCATGTAAATCACACAATTAAGAGAACGGCAATGCTTGTGCATTTCTCAAGACATTCAGCTTTTGGGGCTCTTCTGCGCAGCATATCTTTCTAGGCAATAATTAGGAACACTTATATACCCTAATATTGATCAATAGATATTAAGAAAATGCTCTCACTATAAATTATGATAGGGCATGCCACTTAGTAGGTAATCTTTGTGTCGTATTCGAATGCTTATGAGAGCATTTATCCCCTCTTGCTGGAACAGGTTTTGCCTTCTTAAATTCTGCAAGGCTTTAAAATAGGCATTGCTACGTAATCTCCTGCTATGCGCTAAGTGCTGTGCTATGCAAATTAAGCGATTGGATATTGAATTTATGAACGTTGTTTTTTCGTGTATATCTTTTACTTGAGTTTCAAAAACTTGCAATGGAAAGCCGAGATCTCTGCTGATGGTTCTTCCGCACCGCCTAACATTCTCGTGATGATCGAGGCTCTATGACTCCTTGACCTCGGCTAGTTTCAGTTCATGATCCTGCATGGTAAGAATAGCAAGGAGAGATGGCTGCGCTCGGTCAATATAAAAGGTAATTAATTTTGTGGAGAATTCACTAATATAATTAGATATGTAGACCTACTTCTGAGCGATCGTGCTGAATCTTGAAATTTGTATAAACGTTAAGGACAATTTTTTCGAATTTCTCTTACATCGCTCTAATTAATTAGAACGGAAATATTTTATCACCGTTTTGCTGACTTAAAGTAGTTCTCGCATTTACTGCAATTTTAATAAATAAATTTATGTTATTCACTGGTTTTAATTCCTAAATGTTTGTTCAAAGTTGTAATGCTTTTCCTGGCAGTTGTTTGAACTTACGTGAAAATAACGATGTCATTGAGGGAAGAGAAAGTGCGACGAATAACGAAGGATTTGTTCGAGTTATCTGAAGTGAAACTCTACTAAGCCTCATCTTTATGGGCATGTTCACCTGCAACATCAAAACCAATCAATTCCACTGTTCGATTGCACTCTGCTTCTAAACCAATCAATTCCATGCACTCTGCTTCCAATAGAATGAATCTCGGGAAATAAAATACAAAACTCAATCATGTTCCACGTAATTTTGCCTTACTATAACAACAACGCTGCTAATGGTAATGAAAAATGTCTATTTAAATAAAAATAATCTGTATTAACAAATACAAAATTTCTTAGATGTGGCATATGGACCTAATTCTGCATCTGAAAATTACAATAATTATAAGGGAATTGATTCAGACTTCCGTTGATAGTCGCTGTCACTCGTTGTCTATTGTTCGTAATAATTTTTCCTGTAGATATCATTTGAAACGAGTTCTCGTAGCAGCAAAGAACACACAAACACCAGCAGGCGTTGGGTGTCGCTGTCACTTGATCGTTTTTGTTCGTCATGCGATCGCTAGCTCCCCATGCGACAAGGACAGCGTTCGTCTTGAAAGGCTTCACTGCGGTGACAGCGGCCACTGTGTCACCCATTGAGACCTCGTCAGTCTCATCGTGTTCGGTTCTTCGCGTGAGTCGTGTGGTTCTTGTCATGTATTGTTCTTCGTCGTGACTTTCTCCATCTTCGTCTTTTGAGGTTCGAATTTCGCCCGCTTGGAGTAGAGCTTGTAAAAGCACAGAATTTATTTTTTATGCGCATTCCAAGTGTAAACTGTTGCTGTTATCTGAGTTCTGTTATCTAATGTCAGGTAATTATATAGCATATCTGCCTGAGGGTACGCACGATAGGTAAAAAAATTACCGAACGTGTTTTCTCTGATAATTCCGGGATGAATATTTTATTCTTTTATTTTGCTTGTCTCTCCGAAATATCAATTCGGCTGTTTCTACGATCTGCAGACTATTATTGCATAAATTCGTTTTAAGAAACGTGAAAAGATCACACTTTAAATGAGACGGTCTTTTCCTGAGTCCCAAAATTAAGAAACTAAGTTTACAATGTGGATGCCCTATAAATAAGAAATAATCATGTGAGATAATATAATGGTTTATATTTTTTATCAATTTAAGTATGCTTGTTATATTTTGCATACGTTAAGTAGATGTCTGTCGGCATCTGTGAAAATGTTTACCAAAATTTGACGGTTGACACTTGAACAGAATATGATTGAAGACCGACTTGAATCGACAACAAAAGGCATTTATAAGATAGCTTCTCATTGCCTAAACAATTTTTCTACTCCAGTAGGTAGATATTCTACCCATATTGATTTTATACTCTTGAATTGACCAGTAACAGAAATTACAGTTATTCAGATTCTCTTCCGCATGTGCTGGTGAAAATTACCTGAAATGTTCGAGCTTTTCCAAGTCGGAATACTTTCGTGTTTCTGTCTTGTCGGTCTAAAGCAGGCAGCTGAACTGTTCGTACGAGAAAGAATGTTGATATAGAATTCATCCAACGTATCGATCAAAAAATAAAAAAATACCCAGCTGTACCTCTACCCTATTTGGCTGCAATGGAATGCCCGTCAATGTATGGGTAGGGCGAGGTGAAGTGCACCGCTGCTTCTCACACATTGACATGATGATGAGGTAGTACGGCTACCTTAACTACCGTTCTGGTGACAACCTGCTCACTGCTCGCCTCATTCGTCATGTCGATATTTACCTTCTCTCTCTCTCTGCAATCATGGTAGCTTTTGCGTACAGTAAATAGAATATTACCGTCGCACTTGGATGATTTGCGTTGTTCTAAGCCGTAAAAAAGTCGGATTTACTGATTACTGACTGATATAGATCATACAGATGCAATTTTTAACGAACTTGGAAGCACAATAGCAATTCGTTTTTTTATATCTATTGAAAGATGCGCGTGTTTGTTCTGTTGGCATAAAATGATATGGCAAAAAAAAGTGAAGTGGTTTTGTTATCGAAAGTGTGTGTACGAAAAACAAAAAATTAGATCAATACTCGCTGCAGTGAGTTACAGAGCGCATTTTCGCGTCCGTCCGTCCGTGAAGTCACGGACGGACGGACGGACATGATGAGCACAATAGCGCCTTTTTAGCGCATTTTCTCATTTACGGAAAATGCAATGGAATGCATTTTCCAAAGAACACACCATTGTGCTCGCCATGTCCGTCTGTCTGTCCGTCCGTG